CACAAGCCTATGGCATTTTACATTGTATAAATTAGCCTCGTGGCTAGCAGACTTTTCCTCCACTTATATGAAGCCAGGAACAACAGCAACATTTAACAAAAGGTAACGAAACATGATTTGGCTCCGTTACAACTCACTGACAACTTCACCGACAAAACAACTGTCTAACATGCTAACATTATTAGCACAAACCTATGGCATTTTACATGTACATGTATAAATTAGCCTAGCAATGAGTGGAGATTTCCTCTGCTCACATGAAGCCAGGATAAATCACACACAAGACTTAAAATGCTATTTTGTAGAGGCTTTATTGTCTTCACAATTTACTGTTTCTTATCTGCAAAATAAAAGTAAATAAAATCTTTGTTTCCACTGAGGGAAATGGTTTCAGTTTACAAATATAGACAGGAAGTCTGCGTCACTGCGACGTGTAGTTGCATTTCCTTGGGGAGGTGCGCGTTAGGCACAGTGTTGATTTGACGCATAAGTATAAATCCCGCTTAAATCTTCCTGAATCTTACACACTGTTACTTTAAGTTGATTTTATGGAGCCACAGAAGTTATAAATACTATACAGACTACATAATTTAGAAGGCATTAACGGCGCTAAGCTTTTTCATTTTTAGATTTTGCTCTACGTATCTACAAATATACCCATTTTATCATTTCTGGGACTCTATAGCAGCGGTGCTCTTGATCAATGTTTAGTAAACTTCATAGCTGGTGCAGCTATTATCATATATATTGCATGTACCATATACAGTATATATATCACATGCATCTAGTAACATGATGATAGGGACACTAGCATAATGTCCTCCAAATATGCATTGTGTAACATGTGTTGTATGTAAAGAAGCTTGCACTGTGTTTGTGTATGTGTGCAGGGTGACTGCTGTGCTACCATGTAAACTGTACATTAACCTTGTGGACGTGATGTAAAGAGAGCAGGAGTGAGATTAAGTGTCAGTCTTAGGTTTTTGTGCTTGCATATGCAATTTAACAGAATCACAGGGGATGCTACGAGCAGCACGTCACAGCTATTAGAGAAAAACACAAACAAAAAGAACTGACTGTACTATTCAATTATTCAGCCCTGGACAGCGTCCCATTACAGCTCTGATCAGATTTGCATCCACTCTCACACACACCCACACACTCTCCCATCCTTCGAAGAAAACCCAGCCTCTATTTGAGCAGAGCAGCTTGAGCTGACAGCTGCAGTAAACTGAGGAGACAGGCCCTGGATAAAAACTGCACTACTTTCTTCTCTTCTGAGACAGGAGACAGATGATGGTGATGATGCTAGTTTTCCGCTGATCTGTAATCAATATCAGCAGCCTTGTTCTGCTGCTGCAGGCTGAGTCAGTCGCTCTGTATGTGTGTGTGTTTAAGTGTGTGTGTGCAAAGGAGCAGGAAGTCATTGCAGTGTGACTTACTGGCACAGTGACGTCAAAGCACAGAGAGCAGAACCCAATGGGAGGCTAAAATGTGTGTCAGTGTATGGATAATTTAAGACTGCATCTCTCTCTGACACCATTGTGTATCTTAGCGGCAGAAATCTCATCAGTGAGAGCAAGAGAAACCAGCAGCCCCAAAGTAGTACCAGCCGTTACTGTGACTGTTATGTAAGTGAGCGCTGCTGTGCATACAGAGGCTGATGTATGCGGTGATACTGAGACTTGATACTGTTAAACAGAATCTGCTGCAATGGTTCACAATGTTAGAGTGTTTGCATGCTGGAGGACAGAGAGAGCAGGAGGAGGAGGAGGAGGAGGAAGAGATGGAATAACATGACAGATAAAATGCTCGAGGCAAGGAGAGCCAGATGGAGAGGCGCTGAAGCAGAGTCAGTTTCATGCATATATTGTGAGCTGTTTCCATTGTGCATGACTAAATATAATTTACACACGCACAATTTACATTTAATATGACAAACTGTGCAGCAGTTAAGTGAGGCGGCCGTTTAAAGAGGAAATATTTACATTTTGAATGAGTCAGTTACCACAAGTGGTTGAATAAAGTATAAAGAAGAGTGAGAGGCATCAGTCATGGTCAGTGCTAAGTGCCATAACAGAAAGCATTTAACTATGCAGAGCAGTATTAATTTAACTTTTACTTAAATGCTTGCACTTTATCTCCCTCCAGTGACCAGCGGTGGAAACACACCAAGCTGTGGAGCCACAGGAAGGCAGGAGCGGGGGGTCAGATAATTAGGTACGTAATAGAGATCCAACTCTCAGTGAAATTAACCCCGAGTGTATCTGCAGATACTAGTACTTTGTTTCTCCTTAATCTCAAATAAGTGTACTTCACTGCCTGGAACTACTTGGAATATTTTTTATGTAATGTAATGGGAGGTGAGAGATTGATGTGGCACTTAAAGCTCCTGGCTCAGTAACACGTGGAGCAGCCAGTGGGCATTGTAAGGCTTTCCGTCCGTTGAATTAACACATGGAACTTCTTACCTACAGAACTCAAATTGGATCCTGATTTCGATCACTTTAAACTCAACCTGAAACAGTTTTTAAAGAGGAATCAGTTATGCAGTCATGACTAATTTGGTGTTTCCTCTTCTGTGGTGCTAATTATGTGTTGCAGTTTGTGTCTTGTGTTTTATTGTTGTTTGTACTTTGCACTGTTACTGGTGTTCTTGTTGCTGAGTCTTTGGTATCTAAGGCCCAGCTAGGGACGGGCATTGCAAATTAGCTTAGGCTATAAATACTGTGGTGTGTGGCATTTCTGTATGCTACAGACTTGTCCCTATACAAATAATCTTTACATAAAAAATGACTGAACACATGTAACTGACAGCTGCTTTTAGAATGGCGTTCACAACTGGATCAGTAATGTCATGGCACATACCCAATTGACACAGATACCAATCTGCTGTAGTGAATTGTGTATCTCAGCTAAATACAAAATCATTTCTTCCTTCTCCTCTTCCAAAATAAAACCTGTTTAACAAGATGAAGTGTCACAGAGCCACAGAACAGACTACAACCTGCCCTTCATCCAGGACATGTCCGGAGTCAGGAAATGGGCAGGACACATCACTGCAGACCCTTCACACCCTGGACACATTTGGTTCAAATGTCACTTCTCTGTTAGGCACAACTGAATACTGTACGCTAAAACAACAACACACAAGAACAGTTTCTTTCCACAGGCCATCACTCTGATACACATGTAACATCAGTTACACACTGTCAGATCAATCCTCATGCTACAGCCTTTAACACTAAACATCCAGTGTACCTGTAAATGATACACTTTATAGTTTAAAAAGAGTGTTGTTTTTTTACCATGAACATATCATCACAGTATACACGGTCATATCCTGCAACCTCATGTTTATGAAGCGTATATATTCCAGCCAGTAGTGGGGCAATGACTGCTTTGCACAGGTACAAAACCATAAAATTGCATAATTTCACTGTTTGACACAATGCACTATTTTACCTTTCCCACGCAGCTGAACACAAGTTATAATCCAACTGGACACATACCTGTTCTCCATCTTGCTGTCTCTTCTCCATCTTGCTGTGTCAGTTTGGGGTAGCCACGTCAGCTCTGGCACAGATACACTTTTATGGCGTCTTCCTGCTGCTTTCATGTTTGGCAATCCTCTCAGAAAGATGTTTGAGATCATTTTCCCCTGCAGATCTAGTACCAGTCCACATTTAATCTGATTATCATTAGAATTATTTTACCAGTGGTTCAGTTTAAAACAATATCCCACAGCTTGTGGGCACCGAAGTGTTTAATCTCAACCTTTTCTTCATAAAACAGACATCCTCATTGTACTATGCAAGACTCTGCCAACTACGAGCACATAACAACAACAAAAACCAAATCAAAGTGCAGCTGGGCGGCAGGTGGCGTTAATCATGTGCCATTGCTTCCAGTGTTTTTCCAAAGTGGGGGCACTTGACATCATAAGAGTAGGGTATCCCCACATAGCAGCCTCTGCAGCGAAGCACAATCATACATCATACATCATCCAGAATCATTAAAGGTCCAGTGTGTGAATTTTAAGGGACATCTATGGGCAGAAATGGTACATTGAATTTATGTTTTCATTAGTTTATAATCACCTGAAACAAAGAATTGTTCTCGTTAACTTAGAATGAGCCAGTGTAGCTCCCACAGAGGTCAGAACAAACAAACACTAAACACTGGCTCTAGATAGGGTCATTGGCATTTTCACACCATAGTTCTCCTACACACTTACTACACTCAGGAGAAGTTTCAGTTCTGCAACCTAAAGGCTAGATGCTATTAAAGGATAACTTCTGCATTTTTTCAACCCCCGTTTTTATTTTCCAGTGTAAAGTGATCAAAAAGACTGATATGAGCCTATTTTTGAAATGGGTCCTGTATTGAGGGAGCCTGCAGCGTTTCAGAGCTGCAGAACGAGCTGCAATGGAGGCAAATGGGGCAATTGAGCATCGTCACTGTATGTCCATTAAAAGTGGTTATTTTTGCCACAGAGCAACTCAGATTGTTATTCTAAGTGTCTGAAGTGTCTCTTTACCTTTCACTTGATCTGGTTTGTTCCTTATTGAGTCAAAGGCATTGCTGCATTCACATGAAATCAGGTAGACAGCAGATTGAAAACAGCTTTTGACGACATGAGAAAAACACATCAGTCCACCGGAACAGCAGGACAGTAGGACGAAACATGCATGACAATACATTGCAATACTGATGTTGTATTGTTTACAAAAATGGAATAAAATATTCATTCATTAATACATTCTCTGTAACTGCTTATCCTGTTAGGGGTCTTAAGGGGGTTGGAGCCTATCCCAGCTGAGATTGGGCGAGAGGTGGGGTACACCCTAGACAGGTCACCAGATTATCACAGGGCTGACACGTAGAGACAAACATTGACACTCACATTCACACCTACAGACAATTTAGAGTCACCTGTTAACCAAATAACAAATGCTAAATCACTTTAGGGTAAAACTAAAACAGAACAAGAGACACACTTTTTGTCGTAGCAACTGAATTTTTAATATTTGTAAGATATAAAAATCTTCATCTTTATCATACAATAACATCTTACCATAAATTTAGTCAAAGGAGGGAGAGTTTTGCCACCAAACAAGAATTAGAATATAACTTTGATCCCTTTTGAGGTAAGACAGCTGGTTCATTGATTATTTAGCCACACAGGTCTTCCCTTCTACACGCGTACAGGCCGTTTGGTTTGTTCATCATGTGTTATCCATGTAAGACATTCTGCCTCACCTGTAGGCCCAGGCACCGAGCTGAAAGCAGGACCTATCCTGTGAAGCTACTTACAATGACACACACTCACTCTTCTTCAGGATGTCTCAAATAGAGGCTCAATAAAATGAAAACAAGATATATAATCAACAGAGTCAATGGAATGATTTAAATACCACGTATGAAAGAGTTAAACACGAGACTGCTGAGGGTCTGTGTGATATTAACAACCAGTGATCTGACAGTTTTTAAAGGGGGAGAGAGGCTGTGTTGGAGTGCTTCAAATACAGACAGTTAGCCAAGCTCCTCCCTTTCACATCCCGAAACAGAAGGAGAGACCTGTACGGCATTAAAGTCCACAGACTATGATGTGCTCAGCGTGTCTTTCACTATTTTTAATCACCACGTTCTTTGGACAAAAAGAAAAAACAAAACGATCAACAACGAAAGCAGCCAACACAGGAAACAGCATTCAATATGCATTATCCAAGAAACACAGTGGAAAAGAAAACGAGAAAACAAAGCAAATATAGAATTTTAACATGCCACATTGTTCCTTGGGCAAGTTTTCTTTCACAGAAAGCCACCTATTTTACTAGTTTTTGTAGTAATAAAAATAATAGACATCTCAAATGGTTGCCAGCAGGTTGACCAAGCAGAGAAAAGGGAGCAGAGAGAAACAAGGAAGCCACATGACATCATCACGTCACCGGACCATGCACATGACCCTGCAGCATCCCGCAAGACAGCACACACACACACACACACACACACACACACGCGCGCGCGCACACACGCACACACACATACACACACACACACACACACACCCTCACACTCTCTGTAAAACAAAACACAAGCATAGAGTGACATTAACCAAAACATCAGCATTTGACATTTCCCAGAATCCACGTGTCCTGGCTGTACCGAAGCCAAGGAGGCATTTATGGCAGAAATGTTTAATATTCATGTTAACAATGCTCTTTCAAAAAAACATTGAACAGCAGTTGGACAGTACTGTGTTGTTGTGCTGTCGGCACAGGTTGATTTTGGCAGCACACCCGGTAATATAAAGCTCATCAACTTTACAAAAAGAACAAGAAGACGGACAACGAAACAGGCAGACGGACAGGCGTGCAGCAAGCTGGATGACAACCAATCACAGCAATGATGAGGAGAGAAAACTGTCATTGTCACAATCGAAAAACATGGCTGCATCGTCTCTGGGGCTGGTCATGCACGAACACACTCACTCACACATACGCACACACACCCACACACAGCACTAATACATCTGCCAAAAACCTGCAGCCATTTTTTTTTTGCCCTCATCGCCCCCCAGCTATCTTCACGATCTTTTGCTAGTCCAAGGGGACTGGCAGACAGCAGCTGACGAGCCCGAACAAGGAGGATGATAGCAGACAACTGATGTCACAAGATGGGGGCAGGACCACAGTCAGTGTTCCTTGGCTGGTAGAGGCGGGTGGACACTTGAGTCCCCGTGCAAGCTGACTGGGTGGTTGGAGCCAGGAGGTGCGGTTTTGGTCAGTCTCCAGTGAGCCGAGCGGTTGTTTTGAGTCTCTACAGGGAGGTGGAGGGAAGCTTCTTGACACGCCTCTGAGCTAGGAAGGAGCTTTCAATTGGCTTTAGCTCTGGGGTTGGTTGGGAGTTCTTCAGGGCAGAGTAGGTGGCTGCCATCGCACCCTGTGCAGAAAAAGTAGTATGGTGATTGTAGCTCAAATAACCAACTATCCAAGATGTGGGTTTGAAAAAGAAAGCCACTCAACAGCAATTACAGTCATTTTAAAGGAATACCTAACCCCCCCAAATGACCATTTGTATATCAATTAAGTGGGATTTACACTTCTGTAATGAACGAACGCTGTACCTACAGCGTACGCTCTGCGTCAATGCTGAGCCTATGCCATAGCCTGACATGCACCTCCCCAGAAATATGACTGCATGTCATGGTGACGAAGACCTGCTGCCTACGTTGCCTCTACAAATGTCTACAAAACAAAGCTTTTATTTACTTTAATTTCACAGATAAGAAACAATAAATTGTAAAGACAATAAAGCCTCCACAAAAATAGCATTTTATGTCTATGTGTGATTTATCCTGGCTTCATATGAGCAGAGGAAATCTCTGTGAGTTGCTAGGCTAATTTATACAATGTAAAATGCCATAGGCTTGTGCTAATAAAATTAGCATGTTATATTTGTTTGGAAAACGTGTTTAGTAAAAGACAGTTGTTTTGTCGGTGAACCTTGTGAGTTGAACTGGCACCTAATTTTGTAACATTACCTTTGTTAAATGTTGCTGTTGTTCCTGGCTTCATATAAGTAGAGGAAAAGTCTGCTAGCCACGAGGCTAATTTATACAATGTAAAATGCCACAGGCTTGTGCTAATAACGTTAGCATGTTGTATTTGTGGGAAAAATGTGTCCAGATAAAGACAAGTGTTTGTCTGTGAATGCTGCGAGTTATAGTGAAGCTGATTTGTGTACTTGTGTTTAAAATTGTTGCTAAGCCATGTTTAATGTGTGTTTTGGGTGTGTTTTGAATCAACTAAAGTTTACAGCACTTCAAAGAATTCCCACCACCGACCAGTGTTTCAGAGGTGTAACTGCAGAGTGACACAGACACACCACCACACAGGTATAAATGCTCACAACGGCGTAGGCGACATGTATAGGCTACCGCATAGGGTCTGCACAGAGCTGATGCACAAGTATAAATCCTGCTTTACTCACTTTGTGTCCCCTTAAATTAGTTCAGAAAACGTTTTTCTTGCATGCTGTCTGCTTTTGTTAATGGAGTCTGGTTTTGAAAAAAACATGGATCAATTTTAGTTCAGTTCCCTGTTGGAGAAGACGATCAGTTAGTAAAGTACCGAGCATTCGCCTGGACAAATGAGACTTAAATTATACAACACAAGTTCGTAAAAAAGATGTTTTGTTATAGTTTTGCCTTTGTTAAACGTGGACCCCGATGATTTTAATTCATCAAGAATTTTCGAAATTTCTGGATTCTTCAGTCATCCGCAGGCATTGTGAGAAAAGTTTTCTTCAGAAATTAAGTGTAACACTGAGGTGAGTAATTTGATATAGTCATTTTGGGGAAGTATTCCTTTCATATCTGTTACCTTGACCAGTTTGGGGTCCTGGTGTGGGAGCTGGCTGTTGGGTAGCTTGTCTCTCTGGACAATCCAGGGATGTTTGAGGACCTGCTTAGCAGTCAGTCTCTGATGGGGGTCCACATGAAGCATCTTGGACACAAGTTCCTAAAAGGAGCACACAATAAATATGAAATTGTGACAGAAGGAAACTTGAGTTATCTATGAGGAACATGAGCAAAAGAGATGTCAGTCCAGGGGCGAAACTTGCTCATGTGCTGGCTTAACACAAACAGAAACGCCTGTTTCAGGGGGAGAAGGGGGGTCATCAGGGATTGGCTGTGGTTGGCGAGACGTCACCATTACCCACTTGTGGGTGGCTGGCCGGCTTTTGGCCCTACCCCAGAGAAGGTCTATTTCTGGTGCAGCTTGGAGTGGCACAGTGTGCCTTAACTGATAATTGAAAAATAAATTGGTGCAGCATGGTTTGACTTGGTGTGACCGAAAGTGGTAATGGAAAAAGGGTATTAACTGCTTTGAATGAGAGCAGGAGAGTTTAAAGGGGGACTGGGAGCTTGATGGGGTGCTGTTTCCATGTGGTTCTAGTGTGCACAGTTACTCTTGTTTTGTTTCTATATATAACATTGTTTTTTGTTTTTGCACTGAGAAACTGAAGGGGACATGTCTTCTCTTGCCCTAGAATAAATCACACCCCTGTGCCAGTCAGGTCTACCTTGGCAGCCTCAGACACAGTGTCCCAGTTGCCACCAGTCAGACTGAAGTGACCATTGCCTATCCTGTTCAGGATCTCATTCGGAGTGTCCTCAGGTCCGTTGGCAAATGGAGTAAAACTGGTGGAGGGAAAAGAGACAGATGACAGAGTGAGTATGAAGAGCAGCGAGAAAGAAAAAACTGTCAAGAAAAAGGTTTAAGAGTTGGTATTCACCCAGCCAGCATGGTGTACAGTAAGACTCCCAGACTCCAGATGTCACATCCTTCATCGTAGCCCTGACGCTTCAACACCTATAATGAGGTTCACATTTAATGCAACAGTCTAACACTGTGAAGTTTCAACAGCATTCAAGGAATGAGACTGACAAGTGACTCAGCTCACCTCAGGAGCTACAAAGTTAGCGGTGTAGCACGGTGTCATCAGCAGGCCGTTGTTGGCACGCAGTTGCTTAGCAAAGCCAAAGTCACAGATCCTGATAGACTCTGGATTCCCTGATTCATCAACGTAGAGGATGTTGCTGGGCTTCAGGTCTCTGTGCACCACCTGGAGGACGGAACAAAACAGGAGGGAGTGATACAGACAGAAGAGAGGGGTTGGTTTGAGCTTCATGCAGATGTTTGTGTCCCCAGAAGACACTGACACCAGAAGTTTTTCTAGTTGTCCTCACCCCCTGTGAGTGCAGGTACTCTACAGTCTTGGTGATGGTATGAAGCACAGCGCTGGCCTCCCTCTCCGAAAAAAACTTCTGTTTAAGGATCCGATCCAGCAGCTCTCCTCCACGCATCAGCTCCGTCACCATGAACACCTGCTTACCATTGTCGTACACCTGAGACAGAAACACACACATGATCATATCACCAGCTGTGACATTCGGCACACTTACTGCCCTAGGCAAACACTAGTGTGATATCAGTGCATGCTATTATACTCACATCCTTCAGTGTTATGATGTTGGGGTGCTGTCCATATCTAAGCAGAATCTCAATCTCCTCTGAGGGGTCTGTGCTGGTCTTGTCAATCATCTGTCAAACACAAAAACAGAGATGAAAAGTTAATATTTCAAGACTTAAAAATACACATTTTCCCTCTTACCTGTAGCGCTGTAAATCAGTCTAGATTGTTTCGGTGCGAGTTGCCGTGAACTTGAGATATCGGCTGTAGAGATGTCTGCCTTCTCTCAAATATAATAGATGTATATGGCACTCTGTTTGTGGTGCTCAAAGCGCCAAAAAAATACATTACTCTTTCCAGAAATCATGACCTGGTTACTCAAGATAACCGACAGACCTTGTTGTGAGCAGTTTCATGTTGGAACTATTTATTTTCTACCAAACTACACCCATCAACTGTATCACCATGCCGAAGGAAGCGTGCATCTACTACTAGCTCACCTAGCACCACTGAGCTAGCTAAAGGCTAGTTCACAATACACGATTTTCACCCTGATTTTGCGTTGTGGAGACTATCGTAATCTTTTGAGTGTTCATACCTGGCGACGTGTGTTTCTGTCAGCGGGAGTCTCGCCAACTGCGTTACGACCTGTGTGTGCAAACCACAAGATTTCTCCACCTTGCCCTCGCCGACAGAGCCCCAGATAACGCGGTGACGTCGCCAAACTACGTTTTTTAACTTGGACACAACACATGGTAAAGTCATGGATATTCTGCCCAGTGTTGAATCAGATCTGCTTCCAGGGCCGCGCTCCCCGTGATCCTGTGGACGCAGCCATTGTTGTTGTTGCTTGCCGGCTTGTCAGTGGTGCCAGATCTTGGGAGAGAAACAAGCAACCAGGGCTATGGAAACAAGCCCAAAAGAAGCGACGGATATATATAGAGAAAGGCGGCTTTTAGAGAGCAAGCCCAAATAAGCAACTCCACTTTAGAAACAAGCCCAGAAAACTGCAACCCACAACTACCAATATTTGTAAGCGACTTCACAAAAAAACAAGCCCAAAGTCGCAGCTAATAAGCGGACCTGGCAACCCTGTTGCCGGCTTGTCCTGACATTTCTTCCGTCCTCCTGCGTGCTGTCGTGTCAGACTTCTCCAGTTTTCTAGCCAGATATCCAGTCCCAGTCGCAGACGAGGGGGCGTCTTGCTTGTAGGCTTGTTCACACATGAGGACTCGTCGTGGCAGACTATCTGCCGACTCACCGCCGACCCAAGGTGGCTCTCAAGATCCTCTGCGACAAATCGTGGTGAAAATCGCGTAATGTGAACTAGGCTTAAACCGTTACAGCTCAGCTGAAGAGGATGCCATTAATGTTTGCTTCTTGCGCTATCACGAGCACAAGCCTCTTATCCATGAGTAGATGCACGCTTCCTTCTGCACGGTGACTGTCGTGTGACTGTTATTTCATCAAACCATATCAAATCTGCATGGGAGGCAGATCTTGGTGTAGAGTTCACTGAGGAGGTGGTGAATGAGAGGATGAAGAGGATCCATCTAAGCTCAAATAATGCTAGACTGCAGTTGATTCAGTTTTAAGTCACGCATAGATAACATTACTCCACAGAAAAGATCAACAAAATGTATCCTATTCTTGTTTGTTTTTTGGGTGGGTTTTTTGTATGTGGGTCTAGTATGTCTGTTTGTCTGTTTTTTATATGTAATATTCTTTTTGAGATGTAAATTTAATATAAAATATGGAAAAAAAGCACCACAAGCAGAGTGCCATCTAGTTCCATTATCTTTGAGAGAAGGCAGACATTACAACAGCTGATATCTCCAACACTTGGCAACTCACACCAAAACAATCTAGACTGATAAAAAGTACTACAGGTATGAGGGAAAGTGTGTATTTTTGACTTTGGGTTTAACCATCCCATTATGTGGTATCAAGTCATATGTCTGTATGCGTGTTCATACCTTGACAGCGTATTCTGTGTTGGTGGCTTTGTGGACGCATCGTTTACAGACGGAGAAGGAGCCCATGCCGATGTCTTCCTTCAGTATGTAGCCGTCGCTGAACAGCAGGTTCTTCCCGTGTAACTGCTGCAGAGGAAGAAGAGCGGATGTAAGCGAAGGTATTAACTGACAAAGCTGATGAGGTAAAGGGATGTCAGTGGTTCTCCAAAGGGAGCTGAATCTACTTTTTCTTTTTCTCCTGCTCGTTGTAAAACTGTCTCTCTCAATCTAGCACACAGAGCTAATTACTGTTCCTGTCAGGCATGAAAAGAGGATCTGAAGGCACCTCTGTTAATCCATTTCATTCCCTTCTTTCTCTGTCTTTTCCCATTCTTTCTTTAGATAGCTGTGTAGTCAGTGATAACACAAGACTGAAAAAGGGAGGAAATCACTAGACTTTTAAGCTTTGAAAGTGGATCTCCTGGTAGGTAGTTCAAATGAAAAGAAACACACAAAAGCAACAACTTATTCTGACCTGGACCACTGGGTGCGGCGGGGGCTTGACCTTCTCCACTGAACCTTCCTCCTCCAACAGAGTCGATGCAATAAAGCTGAAGCCTCTGAAGAGCTGGTGAGCTCCAGCACTGGGGGGCACGCCGGGGGAGTCTGGAAGATAGTGAGGAAAGTCAAGTATTAAAAAAAGTTATAGTTATATGCACTGGAAGTGATGTTATAGAGATGTACGTATTCAAATGTGCAAATTGCAATAAAACCCACTTTCAAGCTTATGTATGTTTAATGAGCACTGCTATAATAAAGGGTTATTGCATCTTAGTGGTGCCGTAGTCACACTGGTGTCTCCTTTAAATTAAAAAACGTCCGCTATTGATTTTTTTTAAGCTGAGAGAGGACAAATATAATACTTCCACTGAACTGTTTTCCGGAAGGAAATAGACATGGAGTCAGTTAATGCTGGCCTAACACCAAACAACTTTTCAAGAGATTTCACTGTGGCAGACAATGAGTTTCACCTCAGTTGGTGCCCGCTCCAGTGATCTAGAGCGCTTGGTTTAAGATGGTCATAAAACTCCAAACTGTCTTAAGTCAGTCTTTTTCTCATCTTGCTTTTCTGACAAAATCAAACATGTTCAATATTATCATACGTTTTTTTACTTGGCTCATGCAAGTACTCAAGTTCAATGATGTGAATATATTCAACAACCAACAGCTGCGCTCTCTCCAGCACCACACAAGAAGCAAATGAGTATACATTAAACATGTGGGGTACTCAAGGAGGTGAACGTCTTGGTTTTCCTGTACTGTGGAAATGGAGGAGAGCTCAGATGACAAATTCAAAAGGTAAAGTTTGTATGCAAATACAGTTATTTGTATGGAATATATTGATGCTGAGTGAATATCTGGAGTTATGGGTCTTTGCGGACTAAGGCTGCAACTAACAATTATTTTCATTGTCGACTAATCTGTCGATCATTTCGTCGATTAGTCGACCAATCATTTTATCGTAAAATGTGTTCAAATGTTGAAAAATGTCGGCCTGTCTCTCCCAAACCCCAAAATTATGTCATCTAATGTCTTGTTTCGTACTCACGCCAAAGGGTTTTAGTTCACCGTCATGGGAGAATGTGTAAAGCTGCCAATATTTGAACATAAGAAGCTGCAACAAGAGAATTTTGGGGTACTTTTATAGTACTTTTCTATGAAAAAAGACTCAAACCAATTAGTCAACCACTAAAACAGTCACCAATTATTTTAATAGTCGATTAGTCATCGATTAGTCAACTAATTGTTGCAGCCCTATTGTGGACACGTAAGGAATTGTTAGTACATCACATTTCTTACAGGGAGTTTGGTGTAATACTTTCCACCAGGAGCAGGATGGGAGATAATCTTGAGAAATGTAGTTAGAGTCCTGCAAATCATGACCCTGTAAGATCCCCAGTCTTTAAAAATCTCATAGCCTGTGATTAAAAACTAACACTGTATTTGAGAGCCAACTCTAGACAAGCTTGTAAATTTACAAGTGGACCAGATCAAATGCCTTGCGCGAGAAAGCTGCTCTTGATTGGTCAGAATTTCCATGTGGGAAAAATCCAGGAAGTAAACAAAACATTGAAGAAGAGTACACTTGCAAGATAAATGTGACACTTTCTATTGTCACAATGGAGGGACAACTACGCAGGTTGATTTTAGCGCTGGTCATCGTGGACTATATTGCTGTCATTGTTCATTTTAATCAAACCATACAGTTTGAAAACGAGGCGCAGTTGGTTCAGATTGAGGTCAGAACACGTTCTCACCACAAACAAACCGCACCAGAGTGTGTTTGTAACCAGACCGAGACCACTTCTTCAAGAAGGTCTGGGTGTGGTTGTTTTGGTGCGCACTGCGCGATTGCTGTGTTCACACCTGCCCAAACGAACCGCACCCTTTTCAGAGTCTTGTCACATTTGGTAGGCATAATAGTAAACATGCAGCTCTCTGACCTTTAGGAGTGCGGGAGGTGAACTCTGAGTCAAAGTAGAAGGTGTCATCTGGACGAGCCACCGCCGGTTTGAACGGAGGTTTTACTTCTCTTCTGAAGAGTTTCTAAAAGGAATAAACAAATTTCAAATACAGCACATAGTTGAAGGTTTTCCTCCCACAAACATCAGTGGTTGCTCTAAATGAAAATCCTCTGCATTTTTTACTGTGCATATATTGAAATATCCTCAGACACTCACATTCCAGTCTATGGTGGAGAAGAAACCATGCCGTTTGATCTCCTCTGCACCATCAGCACCAGACCCTGTAAAGAATCAACAGTAAAATCTCAACCAGAGACACATATATGAAGATACACAGCCTTTATGTTGCCTTTGGTGAACATAATATTCATGAGTTGATACTAACCCAGTCTGTTGGCGGGGTTCCTCTTGAACAAAGCCCTGAGCAGAGACTGGGCCTCTGCGCTCAGGAACTGAGGCATTCCTAGACGTGCCCTGCAGGGAGAGACAGACGGCACGCAGCCCAAATTATTTCACCGGATATCAAGAGAGGCATTTTCAAAAGCAACAGTATGTGACTACTGGCTTCTGTGTCGGATCGCTGAATACTCACTTCAGAATCAGGTTCATAGTTTCCTTGCGGTCCTTCCCTTGAAATGGCAGCGCTCCAGTCAACATCTCAAACTGGGAGACAGAGCATATAACTGTCATCTACATGTACGCTCATAGACACAGGTGCAGTAGAACATTTGAGTTTTACATGAGAATGAAGGCTTTAAAATGATCCAGCTCACCATCAGTACTCCAAATGACCACCAGTCGGCACTGTGGTCGTGTCCCTGCCTGTTCACAACTTCTGGTGCCATGTACTCAACAGTACCACAGAAGGAATAAGCTTTCTTCTCATGATCGATGGCTTCTTTACACAAACCGAAATCTGGAAAACACACCACAGGACACAGTCAGCTCATCACTACCCAGCATCGGAGTGCAGCACCCTACTGTAATGTGTTATTCTAAATGATATACACAAAATCTAATATGACTAATGTGCATCTTTGGTCACTTATTTTACAGCACTTCAGTGTTGACATGATAATGTAACGTCTAACTTTGATGCAATAACTTGAAACATAGTGATATTTTGTACCATTTTCAATACTGTGGGTAAAACTGACCTTGCAGGCAGACAAGTCAAAATGTTTATTAAAAGATAAATACAAGACATGATGACGACCACTTTTCTTGGTCAGTAGCAGAGAAAAGCAGAATGACTGTAGCAAACATATCGCCACTGCAGAGGATGAATACTGAAACTGTTTCAGATATTCAAAATATTCGTATGTATCAATAAATTGACAACACTAGAGCACTTTTAATTTTGTCTTAAAGGGATAGTGCACCCAAAAATGAAAATTCAGCCATTATCTACTCACCCATATGCCGAGGGAGGCTCAGGTGAAGTTTTAGAGTCCTCACATCACTTACGGAGATCCAAGAGGAGAGGGGGTAGCAACACAACTCCACCTAATGGAGGTTTACGGCGCCCCAGATTCAAACGTCCAAAAACTGTGCACCGCACTCATGTGTGCGCACTTGCACGAGACCATGAGACATGGGCACCGCGTTCATGTGTGTTCACATGTGTTCACGTGCTTTTCGCTTTTGCTGGGTACAGAGAGGCAGTTAGAGCTACAGGCTACAATGAGGCTAAAAACAGACTTCAAATGACATTTTTCCAAACAACTTTTTATGTCGGGGCTTCAAGACACTTGGATCACTACGGACGAGCAGTATGGAGATATTTTGTGGTTTTAATTATGTCTTTTTGGACGTTTGAATGTAGTTGAGTTGTGTTGCTACCCACTCTCCCCTGGGATCTCTTATGAGGACTCTTCACCTTCACCTGAGCCTCCCTCGGCATATGGGTGAGTAGATAATGGCTGAATGTTCATTTTTTGGTGCACTATCCCTTTAAGCATCACTCATTTATTTTCCACAACCACTTATCCTGTTAGGGGTCGTGGAGGGCTGGAGCTTATCCCAGCTGACATTGGGCGAGAGGCGGGGTACACCCTGGACAGGTCACCAGACTATCACAGGGCTGACACATAGAGATAGACAACCATTCACACTCACATTCACACCTATGGCCAAGTTAGAGTCACCAATTAACCTGCATGTCTTTGGAGTGTGGGAGGAAGCCGGAGTACCTGGAGAAAACCCACATTGACACAGGAAGAACATGCAAACTCATACCCCGGGGTTCTAAACCTCCACCCATGGTTCAAAGCAGGAATTCTCTTGCTGTGAGGTGACAATGCTAACCACTGTTTTCCTCTGTTCATTATTTTGCATCTACACAATGTAATGTTAACTATTGTTCACATATTTTATTTTGCTCTTTATGTTAAATTGGGAATGTGCAGGTAATGAGAGTTATGTTTGGCAGAGTGATATATATAAGGTGAGATGCCACTATTGTTGTCGATGATCAGTTGTCCTACATTCTTTTTCGGACATTAAAGTGGATCAAGTTACACAGAGAAGCTGTCCCCGTGTTCTTACTTCACCCACAGCCTCACCCTGTGACAGTTAATTCAGTAACTAGTAAGTTTATAGGTAAGACAGGAGAGAGAGAAACCTGCCTCTCAGTCTAATAAACACTATTTCACAGCACTTCCTTCTGGTCCATTTCTCCCTCAGTGTGACTTCTTATAATTGCCTCTCTAAAATCTGCGATGGTCACCTTCGGTTCAATGGTAGCAGGACCCGGGAGTAAATAAGTGGTGTGATTATGGATGACGATAGAGGTAGACTGAGAAGATAAAGCGTAATAATTAACTTGTACAGGCCCATATGCATGAGGATATCTGGAGTCAGCGAGATAAGGCTGTCACACCACTGTGAGTAATGAAGGTCATCGAGGTAGAGGAGAGGAAAGTGTGTGGGTGTGATTGTGTTTGTGTGCGTCCCTGATAGAGAGACTGGGTGTGAAGGAAGAAGTAGGAGGCTCACCTGTGAGTTTGATATGTCCCTCTTCATCCAGGAGAATGCTTTAAGAAAGAAACGTCAAATTAATTCACTCATTAAGACATGTCGTACCGCACATTCTGCTTGCAATATAATAATAACCTTTACGATATGATAACAACCTTCCTAGCAGCACTGCACACTATGAGCGAGGGGGTACTGCAGAGGCTGAAGAATGTATATCAACAACCGATGGCAGTAATGCACCATAAAAAGTAGCCACGTCCCAATTAAAATGCAGAAGACAGCTGATGTAAACAAGACAGGGTTCAAAACTTGAAAAGGTTTCGCGAATGTTTAATGAGGCAGGTTTGCAGTCAAAATGTTTGTTCAGCCTGAGGGACACACACGAGGCGTTTTGGTGAGGAATGAGAATTGTTCAAAGTGCAAATTGAAAACTCCACTGGGTCCCTTTAAAGTTCAATACAATGGAATAACTTTTAATTCCAAGCGCTGAACAGAAATGGATTTGCCACAGCCATCTGGGACGCCACAAACAAACACACTGCAGCCTACAACTGAAGGCAGCAGTCTGGAAACATGGACAATTAGAAAGCAGAAGCCTACAATGTAAGAAGAGCAGTCAAGGAAACAATAAGGAGCTTACTGCAATGCACAGTTCGGAGGAGGTGATTGGACTGCCTTGTGTAAAACCATATGACAAATAAACTGATTGTCTGATTAAAAATCTCATAACTGTTAGGCACGGGGAAAAAAATCGATACAGCATGGTATCGTGATATTTTGCGTGGCGATATTGTATCGATACACGGACGCTAAGCATCGATCTTTTACACTATACATTTTTGCAAATACACATTTTGATACAACTTTTTGTACTAGAATAATAAAATCAATTGCTTATTTGGTCCACTAGATGGTGCTGGTGAGGTCAGCAGAGGTCTCAGTCAGCGGCAATTGGCAGGAAGTTCATTAAAACAAAGATGGAACCACTGGAGAAACAAATCAGAAATGCGCAGTCGGTATTTAAGTCAAACATCCGGACTTATTTTGGATTTTTTTAACATGGAAGAAAATAAGGACTTGGATATGACCCATGCGATTTGCAAGCAGTGTCATATGAGAATAAAATACTCTGGGAATACGATGAACATGAGGGCTCACCTCACACACCACCATCCAGAGATAGCGTTAGCTGCTGACGGCCAAGCTGACACTAAACTCCCTCTGCCGAAAAAACCAACCGACACTGGACACACTTAGCTTGACAAAACTAACGTTACCCTCCAACTGCGAGAGCGAAGAAAACAACACAGTCCATCACCTACTTCCTGTGCAAAGATCTGCGTCTATACTGTGTTGCTGAAAACAAAGGCTTTTGTTACATGCTAAAGACACTGGAATCCAGGTATGTGACTCTGTTTTGACGTTTTATCACCGACAGAGCTGTACTGAATTTATACAATGTAAAATGCTATAGGCTTGTGCTAATAACGTTAGCATGTTGTATTTGTTTGGAAATATGTTTAATATAAGACAGTGGCTTTGTTGGTATACTTTGTGAGTTGTAACAGAGGTAAATTATGTATCGTTATCTTTCTAAATGTTGCAATTGTCCCTGGTTTTATATGAGAAGAGGAAAAGATCGCTAGCGGCTAAGCTAATTTAATTTAAAATGCCATAGGCTTGTGCTAATAACGTTAGCATGTTGTATTTGTGGGGAAAATGTGTCCAGATAAAGACAAGTGTTTGTCTGTGAATGCTGCGAGTTTAAGCTGATTTGTGTACTTGTGTTTGAAACTGTCTCTATTAAGTCATGTTCAGTGTGTGTTTAATGTGTGTTTTGAATCAACTAAACTTTACAGCACTTCACAGAAACCTCCGTCGCCAACCAGTGTTTTGCAGGTGTAACTGCAGAGTGACACAGACACACCACCGCACAAGTATAAATGCTCACAGCAGTGTAGGCTACGGCGTAGGGTTTGCCACACGAGTACAAATCCTGCTTTAGACTACTCCAAATAAAAGCCTCTTCAGAGAGCACTGCAGCACAGATAACAGATTTTCCACAAAGACTACAAGAAAGTTGCAGTTGGGGATTTATGAGATGAGAGTTGGCGTTACAAATGTACAACTGTGCCAAGTTTGAGGAATTTTCTTACTGATGGCCTGTGCAGTCTAAAAATATTGAAGAGAGAGGTTGCTATTGTCTGTCACATGACTGTCCAGATGGCTCTGGATCCAAGACTCATAGTTCATCTTTTGTTTACATGTGTTTGTGTGTGTTGAGTGTGTCCATTTGCTCTTACTTTTCAGGCTTGAGGTCCCTATAAATGATGCCCAGGCTATGGAGGTGGTCCAGTCCTAACGCCAGCTCTGCTAGGTAAAACTTCACATCCTCCTCTGTGAACATCACCTGGGAGGCATGAGACACAGGAGAAGAGATAATGAATGAATGAATGAGAAAGAATAACATCACAAGAGCAAGACAATGGAGAGATCAAGTGCGATAAACGACTGGACCTTTTTGACTCAAGGCTAGCAAAACACCAAAATCCAATGCATCACTCTCACCTCTTTGGACAGTCTAGTGAAGAGATCGCCTCCTCTGAGAAAGTCCAGGATCAAGTACAACTTCCCTTCAGTCTGGAATGCTACAAACACACACGTTTCACTCAAATATGATTCAACAGTATGTCAGGAAACATTACTGAGGAAAGTTTCTGGGATTTAAAGCAGTAAGACAGGCGTGAAATCGTAGATCCAATATTTCCTAGGTTTGGAAAGTAAAATGAAATAAAAAAGCTTTGGGCTGACTCACCATAGTGCAGTTTGACAACAAATGGGTGGTTGACGTCTGCCAGGATGTCTCTCTCCATCTTGGTTCTCACACGGTCTCTCACTGAAGGATGAACAAGAGCCCAGAGTTAAACGCGGATGTATGAAACTTTATTATTGAAAAGTAGGCTGACAAAGCCCTCCAACAATTTTCACTTTACTCACTGCGGTCTCGAAACAGCAAGGACGAATTAGGTTTGCAAAATTTGGTTTCATGTTGGCTGCACAATAAAGTCAGAATCAATACTTTGCTGGTTTATAATCGCAGAGGCTGTCGGGGGCCACGCAGAGTGTCAGTGTGGGACTGTGTGGAAGCTGTGCACTCTGAACAGTGAGTAAAATGAAACCAGTTTATACTCTTACATTCAATTCTCATGCCAACAAAAATAGAATTTAAAGATGAAAAAAAAAAATCTCTACATCTGCACACTGTGAAGTAACCACATCATTGTTGGGGACCGTGTGAACAAATCTGACACCACGACGTTTACTGAGAGACCACCTGTACGCAAAGTTAAAAAAAAAGAAATCCACTGCAAGCTGTGGTCGTGTGCTTACAATCTCTGACTGTATATAGTCCCCCATCAGTTACAGGAAAAGATACACCCTTTTACATGAAACTGAGGGTACCGCCACTTCAAAACAAACATTGAAATCACCACAGAAACCAAAGAGAAAGCTTTTTAAAAACAGTCCAACATGAACTTGAAGCTAAGTAAGCTGCAGCTCTATAAAGGCAATAAATACATGGTTGCAACAAATGTTTGCTCTCATCATCGATGTGAGAAAATAGTAAGCAATGCAACTGGGCTGGACAGCCACTAAAAAAGGTTCACAGGCTGAGATCAATGCAAAAAGTCAATTTATTTAGGACATCCCCGCACAAACAGTTTTTAAAAAGTGAATTAAAACAGCAGCAAACGTTTCAGCACTGATGATAGTCAAGGACTGAGATGTTTACTGCTGTTTTTATTAACTTTTTTAAATTATTTTTTGCACTTTGAGCCCCTTTGCTTTTTGTGCAGGGATGTCCTAAATAAACTGATTTTTTTTTTGCATTGATCTCAGCCTGTGAACCTTTTTTGTGGCTGTCCAGCCCAGTTGCATTGGTGTGCGGCAGGGGTGATTGCTCTGAGACAATCAAATATGCACTATTGAGTTTACATTAAAATAAGAATTTACATTGCATTAAACGTGTGCTAGGATGCGTTTGAACATCATGACTATGATGTTCAAACGTCAGCTGTTTATCACCAGTTTTCAAACGTAACCTCCCTGACATACATTCCCATGTCAGCATGGTGGACGCGGAGCCTCCAAGCATTTCTGTGAGATAGCGCTGAGCTAGTCTCGCCACCAGACAATCAGAGATCTCTGCCTTCTGATAGTCTGGGGACACTCCTTTCTAAAGTGTGTTTAACACACCAGTGAAAACGGCCGGCAACAAAGCAACGCCTCGTGCATTTTTGAAACGGACACGTCCTCCCGGAAATGTGCGCTCCCCCTTTTCTCGTCTGCAAGGACACAAACACACAGAGAGCTTGAAAATGGATGTCGAGAGATTAAACTCCGTTTTATCAAACGTGTGCTCAGTCCACAAGATTGTGGAAATTAAGGACTTACAGCGACTTGAGCCATTTTGTACCACTACACGTGTTTCTAGTCGGACTATGTTTACGAGCACAAGAGTTCAGCGAGCGACCGAAGGACCGCCCTGCAGATTTACTATTGGTTCTGCAATGTAGGGAGTTTTTTAAACTCTGAAATTTTATCCGCCCATCTAAACACAAAATCAGGGAGAAAGACATCAGTCTTTAGTTAAGCAAAGCGTCTAAAGGCTGACTTGTGAGTCTAGCGCTGAAAAATTTGACAAAATTGTCATTTCCAGGGAGGCTCAGCTTCCCTGGGACCTAATGGAGCGGTAGGCGGGAGAGGACGCTCGGTGTCTGCATGGTGATTGGAGGAACTGTCTAAAAGGCGGAACCCCTTTATGATTGACAGCGCTCCACATTTCAAGCTCAGTCCCATTCGGATATTTGCGAGTGGAGTCTTCTGACAGAGTGCCGTTCCTTATTTCCATAAGCAATATAGCTCATTTTCACCGTTTGTACAGTGCAGTTCAGGTGTTTAAACCCATCTGAAAATCTGTGGTTCTATGGCATGACTGTGGTTGAAAAACGGCTTCAATGAAATGTTCCTTTTATAAGTTACTGCCTCGCTACAATATGACAAATTTTATGATGTAAACTTAAAGTGAGCTTCCCCTGTTTGAAACACCAGCAGCCGCCACTGGTGTGCAGGTAATCTCCTTCTTGGAGAGACCTTTCTTGGTTGTCCATTGTACTGATACACTCACAATAATCTTTTTTGTTGCCTTAAGTAGGTGCGGCTTCACAGCAGGTAGTGAGCAGGGGCCAGACCGTAAGCAGCAGGCATCAGAGAGACACAGCGCCAAACAAGAGTGAATCTGGAGTTTGCCTTTATTTTCACTTTCGCCGTTGAGCGTGTTTACGATCAGTTATTACAATCCTGCATAGTACACCTTTAAAGTGATGACTTCAAATTGCTTATTTGGTTATCAAACTTACTGTGGATTAATTTTTTGACTATCAGCTAATTGTTTCAGCACTTAATAAATACATAAAATTCACTATCATTAATGCAATGATAAGCCTGTTGGTGTGCTTTAGAACAGAGGCCTGTACTATGAAGCCAGTTCAACTTACCCAGGATATCTTTTCCTTATCTGGCTTGACTAACCCTAACATTGGCCATCTGGATAACTGGCACCACAAAGCTGGTTAACAACTAGCTCAATCAACTCTGGGTTTTTCCATCCAGCCACAAGTGCGCTCATGTGGAGGAAGTGGGGGTGTTAATTACCAGAGACACCATCAAAACCATAAATGAAGTAGGCTGCTTCATATCATATGAGATGAAACGGTACTGAAAGTGTCTGCGACTACGAGACAGTAAAATGTCAGTGGCGTGGGATGTAAATAATACTCTGTAATCTAATAATGGAAAATTATTTTACTATCTAGTTGGAAGATGACGAAACTACTCTGAATTTATCACATGAAACACTTTAACGTAACGCCAGACTGTTTCTGCTGCTTAAGTAAAGAGTGGAAAAGTAGCCTATAGTTAATGACCGATGACATCTATCTGACCCACATGCTGCATTCATAATAACAGGAGCCAGTTAACAGTGTATGGATTATTTTTCTTTATTTTCTATATTAGCTTTTTTTCCTAGTTCTCATCACGCAGATTGTCTGATGTTATTTTGAGCCGCAGTGATGATATCAGGGTGTAAATTAGCAACACTATCTCCGCAGACTAAAATAAACTTTGCAAAACTTTGCAACTTTGCATTAATGTGTAAACTATCTCTCCATTTGTTTTAAAATCAGTGGAAGCAGAGCCCCGCAACAATGAAATGATTCTACTGACCTGTAACAACATGTATTTGTGCTCTTTTTTACCCGAGACTCTCGACTTTTGTCTATGGATACTTTTTTTTTCAGTGATCTGATTGGTCAGAGGACAGGTGTTGACAGGCTGTGATCTGATACCATGAAGTTGCAGTTCAGCATGAGATGTATTCCGGTAAAAAGAGAACCAGCTTCGTAGTACTGAAAACCCAGAGTTAACCCTGAAGTCACCTCGCTAACTCCAAATCCTGCGTCATAGTACAGGCCTCAGGTTTATATAGTTAATAGACAGGGGTCAGGAAATTTAAACCTTTTACATCGTCCCACTGTGGTGACACCACTCAAGCACATCGCAGGCTACTGTACCTTTCAGTGTGGCCTTCTTGAGGACCTTCATGGCGTAGAGCTGGTTGGCATCAGGATGGGTCACCTTTCGCACCAGGAACACCTGCATAAGCAGAACGAAAACCCTCTTACATCAGATCAGAGATTGAGAGTCTGACAAGCGCATTCACAGAAAGTTTGTGTTGCTTTTGCAGCTGCTAAACCTGCACAAAAAGGATCTGTGTAATTCTCAAAGCACCCACAAACAGGGTAAATCCACCCCTAACTGGATATCAGTGCTCCTGTGCCAAAATTGGCATCCGTTTATTCAAATGAGCTTCACTGCAAACACAGTCCAAATCACGAAGATCAGCGCTAACAGCTGCACGCAGTAAATTATCAGCGTCTTTAGAGACTTGCTGGTAACTGAGGCGCGCTGACAGACTGGGATATTAAATCAAAAAAAACAGTTTATATCTGTCATGTTTAAATTCCTAGTCTGAAGTTTTGAGGAATGTCTCTGCAAGTTTTCTCTCTGCCATTACTCTGCAAAGGCGACATTCATACTTTGCAACATGGATGAAAAAAAAGGCCGATTGTACTCAGCTGCAAAACTTTATAGCCGTGTTTGCTCTGTAATATGACTAGTGCAATATCTTTTGGATCAGACCTTGAGACGGGGCAGATAGCGGGTTGCATATGGTGCACAATTCATGATAACATCCATAATCGCAATCCACTTTTTGTGACTTCACATCTAAGAGTGCAAAGAACAATATCAGACAGAGCGAGCAGCACAGATAGCAGTTACCTTTCCAAAGGATCCCTGCCCCAACACTTTGAGCAGTTCAAACTGAGAGGCATCAGCCTTCTCTGAGCCCTCCTTGACCACATGGGTGATGTTGATCTCCTTGATGTCTCCATCTTCCTGAAAGGTGCAAAGTAGAGGAATAAAGTTTAATACAGCAGTCAGTCATCGCTGAACAAACGGCTGAAACAAAGAGTACACTATGTTCGAGAAGATTGTGTAAAAGACCTAAAGTGTCAGATTGTTTGCTGTGAAAAAGGAGAAGTTCTCTCACAGATGTGTCTGTAAATATCACTATATCAAAATCAAATACTTTGGAAAGAGGAAGCACAGAGAAAATTGAGATGTGTGTGTAAGAATGAGTGATAACACCCTGTGGTTCTGGCCAAAGTAGTTTCTGGAAATGATGGCGACTGCAACAATCACAAACAGCATCAGCACAGCAGCGGTGCACATTTCAAACAATGCGACATGCCTCCAGCGGTTCCTTTCTACGTTCTCTGTTTATCCAGAGACTTTTAAGACAACGTCTCAGTTTCTTTACAGGGTGGAGCACCGGCACTGCTCACAACTCCACCACATCTACACACACCTGACCTGGTGTCAACCTCACCCACAACACCCTACAGATATGCATAAAAGCATCAACAATGTCAACAACAACACATCCCTTTTTAGAGACCGGCTTTTCAGTTCTCTGTACTTGTACTGCCCTGAGTTTCACACCCTGTGAATACAGCGAGCCACAGCGCTACAGTTACCTGCAGGGAGTGTACTAAATTCAGCTGATTGGTTGGTGGGGAAACATCTTTGTTTTTTTACTTCAACCCTCGAGGATCACAGCTATTTGCAGAATATTCTCAAAATTTGAGACTGGAAAGTAAAACATCTTTCCTGTTCTTCACTTTGATTAATTGACTTTGTCCTCTGCAGACACCTTTAACAACAGACAAAACATTTCAGTCTGTAGTCGTGTTGATCTGTGGTTCCCAACTGGTTCAGCCTCAGGCTCCACATTTCTCCTTAGTCGTCATTTATATAAGTAAAAATATCACGTATTTGCTGGGTTAATCTTCTCAAATGTAAAGTTTTGTTGTTTGCTGCTTACTGTTTGTCTTTTTTGGACTGTGGTTAAACAAAATAAGCAATAAAATGCACAATTTTGAGGCTGTAAGTGATGGGCTTTTGTCACTTTTGATATTTTATGGATGAAGTTAGTGCTGAACAATCTGTTGACAGTAGAGCTGCAACGATTAATCGATTAGTTGTCAACTAATAAATTAATCACCAGTTTATTAGATGACTGAATCGATTAATCTATTTGAGTATTTTTAGAGAAAGAGACAAAACTTTATGATTCCAGCGTCTTAACAATAATATTTCTGACTTCTTTGCTCCGTTGTGACAGTAAAATGAATATTTGAGGTTATGGACAACATAAGACATTTGAGGACGTCATCTGAGGTTACAGGAATTACCGACTGACATTTTATAGACCGAAAATAATCGACAGATTAACCGTAAATGAAAGTAAGTGTCAGTTGCAGCCTTAGTTGATGGATAACTGATAAAAGCCAAACATTTTCTTATTTGCTGCTTTTCTTTATTTCTTATGATTGTTTATTGAATATCTTTTTGTTTCAGACTGTTGTATTGATAAAACGAGCCATGTGAACACATCTTTTTGGGTACTGGGAACTTGTGTTGAGCATTTTTCAGTATTTTCTGACGTTTTAAAAATAAAGCTGCTGATTAATTCACTTAAAAATAAACATCTGATGAATCAATACTGAAAATGAATTAGCATCAACTTGAAACTAAATCATTTATCTGTTAATCACAAAAAGCCTGATGATTAAGTGATGGAAATGATAAAGTTTCAGCAATACAGTGTAAACAGCCAACACCACAGGCCACTGCAGCTTGGGTCTCTATTTGACAACAGGAAACCAGAGTTGGTTGAGCATGCAGGCTCTCAGCTGCACCCTGTTTCTACACAACCACAGATAACAGCGAGCATCATCTGCACTTTGCAGCGTTAATAGATCCCACTTCCCTGCTTGTTCATTTAAAAATTACCGTGCTTACCAACAACACGGCGCCACTAACAGCTCCCTGGAAACTACTCAGAGTTTATCAAGATGCCAACATGAGGAGGTATCACTTTACCGTCCAGTGGTTCCTCGGCGTAGGTAAAGTGTTAGCAGTGCTGCTGTTGTCTGTTGCAGGTGTCGATCTGCAGCTGTTACCGTGCGCGGGGCTGCCAGCCAGGACTTTGTTCTTTTTGGACAGGTAGAGGCTCAGCAAGCGGCTCAGGTTGAACTTCCTCTTGTCCTTTTCCATCTCAGCATTGCCAACACTTGTGCTTCATCATCCTACCTAAGCCCACAACAAGGCAAACCGTGCTACCTGCCATACATCATCTCAAGGCTCACCTCGGACTCATTTGTGCACTCATGTCAGAATTAAATCTGTGGACATCCAGTAAATATGGAAAAAAATCTCTTCCCTTTATCTCTCTGCTGTAATATTTTATTAACTCTTCATCTTCATTTTCTCCTCTAATATCTCTCTTGTCCTCCCCCTCTCCATTGCTCTCTGTGCAGGTCTGATTAGCCCTGTGTGTCCTCAGTGACTGACTGCAGCTGAAGTGAACTGGAACCAAAGCGGGCAGGAAGGAAGAGCCTGCGCTTATTCTCACAGTCCTGCACCCAACAAGTCCCACACGCACATCTGCGGCTGAGAGAGAGAGAGAGAGAGAGAGAGGTGGACTGAAACTGAAACAATAGAAAAAAAAAAGGAGAGAGGTGCTACGAGAGGTGTTTCTGAAGCCCTGACTGAGAATCATACATGTCACCACATGTTTCTGTGTTACCAGTGTTTTTGCCTCCAAAGTGGTCTGACCCCAAAACCCAGCTCTATACCACTTCTCTTTACCCACAATTCAACAGAGCAGAAGTTAGAGGACGTGAAGAGGTTTGTACGCAGAAAGAGGATGAGAAGCGTAAAGACGATTCGGACGAGTCACTGCCTGTGGATGACAGAGACTTTCCTGTCTGGGGCCAGGCATGTCCCTCTCTTCCCCCTCATAATAGTGTATTCCTGCTTATCCTGTCTCCTAAAACAGCTCTCACCAGTCCTTAAGTGCTCACTTTATTGCTCTGTGCAGTAAATTTCTTCAGCAAAGGAAGAGAATAGGTTGTTAAATACAGCAGCGCATGAGTCAACTTCTCTCTCAGGTCAGCAGACGTACGCTTCACAAACATCTGATTACACTGCAATGCAGCACACACTCAGAAAAGCTTGATTATAGCAATAGTGGGATTGAAGAATAAAGGGGTGTTGAAATGCAGAGATGTTACTGTGAGCAACATGAAGCCTTAATGTGTCTTTGCTTAGTGAAGGAGAAGCTCTGATGTTTTGCTGCTGTGCAGGAGAAGAGTCAGAGCTTACCTGGGCTCTAAGACTGGCAAAGTCCCTCTCTATCCAGGTGATGTGAGACTGGTTCTGGGAGAGGGGGGGGTGGTTGTGTTGGAGGTTAACATGGGTTACAGACAACGCACTTCCATCAAGTAGGTTTCCTCCACATTTACAGAAATATTAAAAGTTTTCTTGCAGGCTCACAAAACACACACTCACAGAGAGGTTTAGAAAAGGGCAGCATGGTGATGGTTGCCACACTAATGACAGGAAACTTCTCTTCCCTCCTAGTTCTCACTTCCTCTTTTCTAGAGCTGATCGCACTCTCTTTCTTCTTGATATTTTAAACATATTTCTGCTCGCAGTTTCCCAGAACAACTGCTGCTCATTTCAAACTCATTTGACTGATCACACACGAATGTGCCAGCAATATATAGAATGTAAATTATCCAGGGATGAGTGAGTGCAGACGCTCGGGACTCATTTGACAGTTTAATGGTGTCATTTTAAACACAGCGCTAGACGGTGTTAAACTGAAATTAATTTACAGCTTTCGGATTTACTACAATGGCCTCAGTGAAGTGTTTCAGTGTTATTGTTTTGAGTATTTAGTGCAAAATGCAAAGGCTGAACACACTGCCTTGAAAATGGACTCCACGTGCAAAATGAAAAGCGTTTAAGTGAGCCAGCACAACTAACCATTTACGAAGTGTTTTAGCGTTAGAGGAGGTGGAAGATAAACACGTCCTCCTGCCTTTCCTCCTGCTTCACAGCTGAGGAGACGGCAGCTTAGCAACACATCCACCTGCACAAAGGAAACCCCTTCCTCTCCTCTCAAAATACAACACCACACATACAGCTGACTGAAGATTTGGGAGGGTCCCTAGATTTTGACACATCTATATCACACCAGCACCACCTACACTCACATTACATTAGCTGGAGGTTAATGAACAACATTTTAAAAAAAAAGAAGTGGCCACTTGCCTCTCGTGTGCGGGTTTTGGTGCGGAATAAGAGCCTCCACATGTCCAGATATTTCCATGTCACTGGTGTCAGTGAGTCTCTGTGACACTCACGGTCTTACAAATACACAGCCTCTGTGTCAGAGTTAGCTCACACTTTCTGTATGCAATACCACAATGACAGATATAATCTGCACACAGGCTCACAAAAATAGGAAGTGAAGTGAAGTTGTAAAAATTAATATGAGCAACAGGTTGTTTTGTTGGGGATAGAGTAGGAAACAGTGACAGAGCTGCGTCAAGTGGCTCTTAGGGAGCGTTTTCTCAGGGATTTTTGCTTTTTTTGAATTCTGAGACAGACAGGAAACAGATGAGAGCAGGGGGATGACATGCAGCAAAGGGCCCGGGCCAAACTCAAACACAGGCTGCTGTAAGGACTCAGCCTTAATGTTACACGCTCTACCCACAGAGCTACCGAGCACTTAAGGAAGCGTTTTCTCAACGGTGGAAAAAAACAGCACAGGAGGAAGATGGGGAAAAGACACAGTCGCAGGAGCAAAGAGCAGTTCCAGACACGTCTACTAACCTACTTTGCACACTTTGATGTGAAGTTGAACAAAACAGAGATTCACTTTGCATAATAAGGCACTCTATATGATTACACAAGCTTCTGTTGGCAACGATAGGAGCTCCCAGAGAAGGAGAGGAAATTGATTTGAATGCTAATGCATGCTTGTCAGGAATCTGAGAGATTTTTGAGAAAAGGGCAGTTTGCATTTCCTTAGGAGTCTCATCTGGCTAAACTAAATGCGCTGGCTGTAATTAGAGTCGGCACTTGCACCTTAAGTAACTTGTGTCTCTCTCTGACAGCAGGGAAGCAGATGTATGTGGTGTAATAGTCTCTGATAAACACAAGGGGCCAGTGCCGGGCTACAGCCAGGCCAGCGCTCCAAAGAAGAGTGCCATGACAAAGGAGCTGTAGCCAAGTAAGGGCATGTTCACATTGTGAGCTCATGCCTCCTCCAAATCTCACTGTTGGGTCTGACATTAATTACAAGCAAGGGAGGCAAAAAGTGGGGCCCAGGGGGAGCATATGGGAGGTGACAGAGACCGGATTGCTGTTACAAACGGTCCAAGCACAGCAGCAAAGGTCACACAGGTTTAAGCAACAGTCAGCGCTTGTCAAAGTGTTTTGGAGCCCTAACCTGCTTTGTATGACAATAAAGGTTCGAAAAGGGACGCATAAAATAAAAAAAAAGAGGACTGGATGTGGTAAAACAGAAGAAAAAAAACAGACGAAATGAGAGAAAGCATTGTCATCATGGCGTGAACAGTAGCGAAAAAGATCATTTAGACAGCGAGCGAGCTGAAAAACACAAGACAATTACAGTATTCGTCTCACTGGAGCCTCTCCTCTTTCCAGGAAGAGGGAACAGCAGCAGCACCTGCACGTTCTCAAATCTAAGACAGCTCTGACTGTTGGAACGGAGAGGAGGAGAAAAAATGAAAAAGTCCAGAGTGGGAGACAGCAGAAACGACTAGTGTACATGGAGGGAGACAGAGCAGTCTAAACATCCATCCAACCGACCGTGGTTCAGTCTCATTACTATGAAAACAAATATCCTACACTAGACTCTGTCTGCCTGAGTGCACACACACAGACACACAGACACACACAGAGGGAGCAACACACTGTATAGGTACACTGCAGCATTACCTTGACTATGACTAAGATTTTGTGATTACATAATTAGAACTGAGACTCTTGAAAATACTGTAGGCAGTATATCAAAAATAAATCCACTATGAGAAAATGCATGATATTTTTACAGCTTTCTAATCACCTTGTCCAGTAGCTTTATTAATGATTGATACATTTAATATACATTTATAATCAACACTCTGACTGGAGGTTACTGGCAGATCTGAATCAGCGTCCCATCTGAGATCGCCTCTACTACCCTCAGACCAGACCTTGTGCCTTGGTCCTCCTCGCTGTGCCTCATCTACATCACTGAGCTCACTGTGCTCTGGGAGGATGCTGTGGAGGAGGCCTATGATCGCAAGAGCCTTAAGTACGATGAGCTGGCAGCCAATACTGAGCAACACCTGGAAAGCGAAGGTTTGCCCAGTAGAAGCAGGCTGCAGAGGCTTCGTAGGCAAGCCCAGTGTCAGGCCATCAAAGCCCTCTCTGGCGCATCTGAACAGGCAAGCCGGTGGCTATGGATCAAGAGGAAAGACACCACTTGGGTGCTGAAATACCGCCAACAACAGCAGGGTTCAAGAGAGTAAAAGCAGAGGGGGGCACACCTGGGATCCTGGCCAGGTGGTGCCGATGAGGCCTCTGGAGGTGTCGTGGGCCTATCATCGAAAAACCAGTGAAAGAGGGTACCAACCTGATGACCCCAGTGAAGCTTTTACCCCCCCTATGCCCCCACCTCCTACCCCAGGATGGCTCCAACTTTCATGAACAATCACAGGTATGTGCAACAACAATCGACCAGTTAAACTCCACCTCGATTTAACATAAGTTCTCCTTTTAGTTTCTTTTCTCTTCCCTCATCAAAATGCAGGAGTAAGGGGAGGTAGAGTGGCTGTCCACAGATGCACAGACGTCTCTCCTTGGCTCTGATTCCCTGTGCTCTGTCTTTCTTTCTTCTTTCTACCTATGTTCTTTCCTACTTCTTTATCCATCTAACCTTAACCCTTTGAGTGGGAGTAAAAGTGCTGTCTGGGGATTTCAGAATGGGAGCCATAGTCTCAAGTATGTGCATCAAGGGATTGTAAGATCTAGTCCTAAATTTAACTGCTTCCCAACCAAACAGCACATCCACTAAGGGTAAATATCCAATGTAATAACAACATGAACACGACACAGGCAGGCTTTGCAGGTTAATATTTGACAAAGACAACGTAAATGAAAATGAAGGCTGTATAAATATTCTCTCATTTCATCTATTTTAGATAGGTTCAGACAGTTGCTTCACTGTGTTCAGACTAAGAGATATTAAAACCTGCGTAGGTCCTACTTTTTTTTCACACAGAAAATAAATCAGGGATTAAGAGGGGAGCTGATAAAGAATCAGACCAATAAGCAGAACTGATAATGGCATTGGTATCAATTAAATCGTATTAATTCCCATCCCCAGTCAGATTAGTTGCAGTCAAATTTTCTGCCAATCAACTGATTCATTGTTGGATTTATCTTTATAGAGA